GAGTAGTCTGCAAAAGAAAAATATATAAAGAATAAGTAGCATATAATTATCTATATTAATATATGTACAAAATTACAATTAATTTAAAAATAGATCTATAATGAAATAAAAAATTGGTATACGTACAAATTAGACCTCCACCTACAGCATGAAGCAGTGCGAGAATTGGATAGAAATACAATGCAGCATAAATAGAGAGCTTGCCCTGTTTTGGCAAAAATTTCTTAGCTATTATCGGCCTTATTAATAACATGAGAGCAATCCCTAGGGCATAGAAGACAAAAACCATAGTATATCTGAAATCATAAAACAATGTATATTAGAAACATGCAATATAACACAAAATGTTTTAAGCAAAATATTGCTAATAGCAAAATAGTTGACAAAAAAAATGTAGAATCACATTTTTTTTTTAATATCAAAGAATATATATATATATTACTGTCAAATGTTGATTTTTAAATATTGATGCTTGTAATAATATCACAGATGAAAATATTGCAATCTCCAGAGGCTTAATAGAAACTATTTTGACTGAACTAACAAGGGGTAAACCGCTTCCTGTGTACAGTGTAGTGTTGCTTCATAATTCGGACTGGGATTATGCAGCAGTGTATACCAGTCCGACAGTTTTTTCGCCCTGCACGACTTGACGTTAAACGTTCCGATGGGATGGGTCAGCTGTAGCACTATGACAGACGACAGTACCACTTCGAGCAAGGCGGACAGATGCAGAGCAATCACTTCCTTGGGTATGTTCCGGCGCATAGATACCATATCGATGGAGAACCAGTGTAACACCAGAGCCAGCAGAGCCATGAAGCCCAGGTAGAGCCAATCGTAGAACATCGGCGTGTCATCGCAGGGCACGCACGCCGACGAGGCGTTGGCCCGGAAGCCGCGAGGACAAGCTCCACATACGCTCCAATTGCCGTCCGGCAGCAGCTCTCTGCCGCAGTACAGTCCGGGACACCGTGTAAGGGTGTTCATATCGTCTATGTTTTTAGGTTAGATCCGCAATAAACCTACCTACATGACGCGACGATATTTTTTCTTTTCTTTTATTTTTTACTTTTCTTTGCGGATATCCTTTCTCCTGTCAAATTATAATGTTACATTTTTTCTCCTTTTTTCTTCTATTTCAAATATCTCACGTGGACCTCTCTTGCTATTTAAAGAGCGCTTGTGTATTCTTTGAGAAACGCAATATCTTTTACTAATTCCTTGATTTCTCTTAACATCGAATGTTATACATATATTCGTCTCTCACCCAGTTTTACGAAACGACAAGGATCATATTTTTTTTCTATTCAACTTGCTTTGAAATATGTATGTTAATTATAATAATAATATATGTATATCAATTCATGTTAATTTTCGCGCAAGTCGCGACAACTGGCGTTGACAGTTGACTATCAAAGCTTACGAGAAACTGTGTTCTCTGTCAATAATGTCGTTCTCTACCGATAATCTACGAAAGCGCGATAAAATTGATGATGATTGACGTAAGTAATATGAGTTATTTATAAATAAATATGTATATATGTTTATATATATACATAGACAAGACCTTTGAGTCTTTGATGTTATGTTGCAACGATATGATTATCTAAAACTTTTATACAGGGTGTTCAAAAAGTAACACTACTATACATGCACCTATATATATAATTCAAATATTAAAAAAGAAAACATTTCTTAAACATTATCAGCAAATTAATCTTTTTTCACAAAAAATGTTGAAGATGACCTCCACGAGCATGTAAACGAGCTTTAACTGGTTTAATCTTGTTATCGAAAACTTTTTTAACTTACCCGATGTCACGGCTATAATGAAAAAGGATTAATTTGTTGATAATGTTTATAATAAATGTTTGTTTTTAATATTTGAAATAGGTGTATAGTTACTTTCTGAACACCTTATATATTAATAAAGGATGTATATATAAGCAAGGATTATAACGGAAAAGCAAATAAACGTCATACGACATTTGTATATATTCTGACGTAATTTAATTTTGACATGTTACATATCTTTCGTGAGAGACGGAAGAGAAATTTGCATTTTTTTTTATCTCATTTCGAGAAAAATTATTATTAAATAGCGCAATCTCTTCTATTCTATATATTTGCATGTTTTAAATCAACACATTCTTCTACATTCTTCAAGTCCATTACATGTTCGAAAATTTTAAAAAATTCATGGATTCAGATAATATACCACGAACACTTTCCCGAATTCTGTCGCAGCTAAACGGATCGAAAACTCGCGAGAAAGAAAGAGAGAGAGAGAGAGAGAGAGAGAGAGAGAGAGAGAGGGAGGGAGGGAGGGATAAAGGTAGAGAAAGAGAGAGAGCGAGAGCGAATGCCGTCAGTACGCATCTATAAAGCGGTAACGTGATTCGTCGGTAACGATCGAGCCATGCGCCACGCGTCTTCCGTTTCGGCGCACTGGCCCGCGCATCGATCGCGAGCGCGAGCGTCGGCCAATGACGTGCGCCGGCGAC